ATATATATATATATATATATATATATATATATATATATATATAAATTGGCTGGGATAAAGAACAGAAATGTAACAACATCCTCTGTAAAAACAACGAACGATTACTTACTTTCCTTATGTCATCTAAACAAGTGATTTCAGGTGACATTCCTCCGTGCACACAGAGAAACTGCTGGTTTAAGAGAGCAGCGAGAGGAAGACAGTCGAATGTGTTCATACACGCTTCGTACACCAGTTCTGAATACTTAATCCGACCTACCGAAAGAGGACACAGTCAAAGGATGAACCATATTACACCCACAGGCCCTGAGTCAGAAAGGGAGGCCACTGGTTCCAGGCAAGTCTGAAGATTCCATCCATGAGAACATGTCTTTCAAGAGCTGCAGACAAGGGGTAACGACTTCCTTCCCTTTCTAAGTATGTCCCTGGATTAACTTTCTAGCTCTGTAGCCCTGGAAACCTGAAAATGCAGCTGGCTGCCAGCTGTCAATTATTAGGCAGCATCATATTTCCTGATGGGAGGCTACGGCTTTGGACTCCTCTGAGGGTCCTTCTAGGAACCTCAGATTCTGCCAGTAAAGTTTTTATGATCCATGGGGCTTCTAAGATAGAGTGGTTCCCTGTTCCACCCATGTGGAATTGTCCCCACAGTACTGAGAACTATTTCTGTATCAGAAACCTTTCTTCTCATTTTGTTCTATTCTTTTTAAAAGCTTTACTTTTATGTGCATGAATGTTTTGCCTGTGGGTATGCACACATATGCATTGAGTGCATGCTGGTGCCTCAGGAGACCAACAGAGGGCACCAGATCCCCTGGAATTGGAGTCGAGGAGAGTTGTGAGCTGCTATTGTGGGTGCTCGGAACTGAACCTGTGTCCTCTGCAAGTTTTTAAACCACTGAGTCATTTCTCCAGCTCTTTCTTTTCTGATCATTACTTTAGAGATGTGTAAGTAAATTATTATTATCCTAGTTTATGTAAAAATGTTTGGATTATTGAACTAGTTTGTATTTTTTAATTTATTATTTTGTTGTTGTTTTGAGACAGTTTCTCTGTGTAATCTTGGCTGTCCTGGAACTCCCTCTGTAAACCAGGCTGGCTTCTAACTCAGAGATCCACCTGCCTCTGCCTCCTGAGTGCTGGGATTAAAAGCATGTGCTATCACTGCCTGATTATTTTTGTACCTTCTTATAATTACTTCCTTACACTGATATTTCAAAAGTAGATCCAGATGTGAGTATAACATCTGTTCAAAATAAAAGCAAAAAAAAAATCATTAATAAATGGTCAGTACTGGACATTTACTCCTAAAAGCCCAAAGGCAGATTCCCTTTGTTTCCATCGAAAGAAATTCCTTTAATTAAAAGAATCCTAACTCTGAGAGGCACAGGATGTCATGCTGCACACCACCATCTAGTTCTGGTAACTTGCTTTTCACCCTTGCAACGACTTGGGAAACGTCCTTAGCTTACTTCCAAACAGATGCCAGATCTGGGGAGAGCCATTTTAAAATCAAAACAAGAGCCCCAAAGCCAAATTAGGTGAACAGAAATTTATGGTGCATTAATATCTGATTAAAATAAGAAGCAATATGTTACTTTTTTCTCCCCCTGAGGGATTAGACTAGAGACAGTATCTATAACCCTATCTTGTCATATCTTCCTAATTTTATCTAATGCATACATATCTGTAAGTGTATAGTGGGTATACATATACATAGTGATCATAATATATATCAATGAGCTAAGCGTTTTGACCCAGCACAGTAGTCACTAAATTATCTGTGACCTCTTTCAGTTTGGATCTCAGACCTGTCAGATTTTAGCCTGGAATCTTGGACAAATGTCTTCATTTCAAGTGCTATGGTTTTCCCAACTATCTAATGGAAGTGATAATCCTTACAAGTAATGCTGCTGTAAGGATTGAAGAGCACTCACACGTGTAAAGTGTATTCACGCCTGGCACACAATGGTTGTAACTGTGAGTGTTAACTGACCACCTTGATAGAATCTCTATGAAGTAGGTACCATTTCTATGTTCACTTAAAAGCCGAGAAGGCAGCTGGAGAGGTGTTCAGCTGTTAAGAGCATTGGATGACCTGGCATAAAACCAGAGTTCAGTCCTCCACACCCACATGTCAGCTCACAACTGTCACAGCTGTCTGTAACCCCAGGTTAATGAAACAGCTCTGGGTCAGACGCCATTCAAAAATAAATAAAAACAGCTCTAAGGTTACATAGCACCTGACAAGTGACAAGAGAACAAGTGATCAAGTACTGAAAAGAAGTTCTAGAAGGATGCATGGCTGTAGGAAAGAGATTTTAATGACGAGAGATCCACAGGCGAGAAAACATAACATCTCACTATGTGAAAAGGAAGGTACACAGGGGCTGGAGAGCTGGCTCAGCAGTAAAGGCACTCATTGCTCTTGCAGAGGACCGGGGCTCAGTTCCCAGCACCCACATGGCGACTCACAACCACCTATAACTCCAGTTCCAGGGCATCTGATACCCTCTTCTGACCTCTGAGAGCACCAGGCATGTATGTGGTACACAGACATACAAACAAATACAGATATAGATATGAACACAATTAAATAAAAGGGGAGGGAACTGGGCCCAGTGCCCAGAACTGCAAGCACGTTAAGCATCCTCACAAACTCTTCCTAATCAGTGCAGAAATTGGAACCCAAGGCCTTGAGAATGCTAGGCAAGTGTTCTACCAAACGATTACCTCTTCAGTTTGTGAACTTTCAACATGAGGTCTTGCCATGAAGCTCAGGATGGCTAGAACTAGCAGCCTCCAGAGTGCTGGGATTACTGATATGTGCCACCCATTCTTTTTAAGTTCAAATTAAACAGAATCTAAATACCCAAATTTATAATTCCTGAAGGTCAAATTAGCTGATTCAAGAGTTTTATTTTCATGAAAAATTAATGTCTATACTGTAGGCTAACTTGTCTAAAATAAAAGAGAACTAATCACAACCTCAGGGCCACATTTAAACAAGTTTTAACTGTTGCCGATAATGCAACAGGACAGAACAACATTTTATATGTAATTAAAAGGTCTTATAGCCCAATCTGACCTTAACTCGCCTCCTAAACGCTGGGATTACAGGCCTGCATCACCCATGGCCAGTAGTAAAACAAAATTTTAAAAGAATTCTAGGAAGAGTTTTGAGAGTCAGCATTACTTATAAGTCTATCCACTGAGCATTATTTCCTTAACTTTTATTTGCATTCACTAAAGATTCCTCCTGTCTGTCTTTCCCCTCTGTCCCCTCCCATCCCCACTACAGATGTGCTGCTGCTTCCTGTGCTGGGATTAAAGGTGTGCACTGTGCCAAGCCAACTGAATTTTCTAGCCTAGCTGAAAAATTATGAGGGTAAGGTAAACTTTTGTCATTCTTATAAGAGCAGCTTAGTAATTAAAAAAAAAACAAACTATACAGCATTTGACTTTATGGATATGCCATAATCTAACCAGGTCAAACTGCTACTCTAAATAGTGTTGCAATAAACAGTATTTATTCTTTAAAAGTCTGTTATAACAGTACTGTTTTCATTAGGAAAGTACAGGAATTTCTGGGACTTGTCAGTAAGCAATCAAATAAAAATAAAATAGTTCATAAAACAACAGACTAATCTGCTTGAGAAATCTGGACCCAGAACTATGAGACGGGATCAATACACAAGGCTTCTTGCTTTCTAAGTACATAACAATAAAAAGACAATAAAAAATTAACTGTTAGCCAGGCATGGTAACACATGCCTGTAATCTCAGAAGGATGAGGCAGAGGCTCACTGAAAGTTTGAAGCCAGCAGGGTAGCCTAATAAGCCCCTATCTTGAAACCACATCTCCAGCTGAGCAGGGTGGTGCACACTCAGGAGGCAGAGGCAGGTGGATCTCTGTGAGCCAAGGCCAGCCTTGAACTAACTAGTTCTAGGACAGCCAAGGCCACACAAAGAAACCCTGACTCAAACAAAGCAAAACAAATAAAAAAAAAAAAGGCATCTCTCCCAGCCAAGCAGTGGTGGTGCACACCTTTAATCCCAGAGGTAGGTGGATCTCTGTGAATTCAAGGCCAGCCTGGTCTGAGCTACACAGAGAAATCCTGTCTCAAAAACAAAACAAAACAAAAATTCAATCTCCCATTATAACTAAGAAAGAGTGTAATGCAGGCCTAGTGACACAAGCCTGTAACCCCAGCTAGCTAAGAAATACAAGGGCAATCTGTGGAACTTAGACTCTGTCTCAAAGTAAAAAGTAAAAATAGCACTGTTTCAAAAAAAAAGAAAAAATCGCAAATATTGATATGAGACAAGAAAAGCTTCTGCCCACACTCCTTAAAAAAGCAACAAGCCTGCAGCTGCACTCTCTGCAACTGATGTCACTTAACATTAATTACACGGTTCTGATCCTAAAAGCCTCAGTAGCCCATAGGCAAGATCAGCTTATCAGTGAACACCCATGAAACACACACATGCTCTTTCCTTATATAGGAATAACATTTATATTTTTATTTTAGTGTGTATGCTGGCTCCAAGATTTGTTTGCATCTTGCATGCAGCATTAGAATGAAACGGGAGATACTATACAGGAGAATACGTTACTGGGCTGGAGTATAGCTAGAAGCACTCTGAAAGCAAATAGAGACACGAGGTAAGAAATTCTGGGCAAATAAGATGCTTAAAGCATTTCCTGAACCTACTGTTCTATCTTCTAAAAATAGTCAGAACCAATTATGGAGCCAGTTATGCTGATTGCAAAAGAAATCTATTTCACTCTCCAGCACCAAAGTCCACAAAAGAACAAAAACTTGAGCTTTAAAGGAGCGAATAGGTGGGGAAATTACAGTAGATGTCCCTTAAAAATCAAACCAAACAAAAAGCCTGAGCCTAGGTCTAATGAACTGCTGTGCATAGCCTGGGCAATGCAGAGGACTCTCTGTCAAAGTCAAAACCACAACACCCACAGCACTCAGAACAGGACACCCACAGGCAATTTTCTTGCCACCCACTTAATTCTAAGTACCAGCAGCTGACTTCCATCAAGTATATTCCAGGGCCTTTGTCAGTTGTTTTATACATATTTAATTTTCTAGGCAAAAAGAGTAATGTTTTAGAGAAACTGCAAAGTATTTCAAAATCTTAAAGGTTAGATGAAGGGGACAAACAGAGAGTAAAGAGTTTTCAGACACTGGCACAGTATTCTTTTATTTCTTTGACATTGTCTATGCACGTGCACATATATACATAATATCAAAATGTGGAAGTCAGAGGACAACTTTCAAGGAATCGATTCTCTGTTTCCTGGGGACTGAACTCAGGTCGTCAGGCTTAGGAGCAAGTGCTCAGCCAACTCACCGCCCTACAGTCATTCTTATTCAAATGCATCCAGCCGAGTTACTAGAAGTGCTTCAAAACCTATTCATGAGCCAGTGCAATGGCTTAGAGGACACAGCACTTGTTGCTGAGCCTATACCTGGATTCAATCTTCAGGACTCACACAGTCGAAAGGAGAGAATCGACTCAAGGGCCTCCACATAAGCCAGGGCATGTTCATCCTATGCACATACACAAAATTTAAAAATTCAATGTTAAAAATATTTATTTACAGTGCTGAGGATTGAACTCAGGGCCTTTCACATACTCTACCACTGAAGTATACCCCAGCCTTAAAACACACACACACACACACACACACACACACACACACACACACAAAAGGCTTTAAGAGCCAGGAGTGGAGGCACACGTCTACTCGAGAGACTGACAGATAGCCTGTCTATATAGGGAGTTTGAGGCCATCAAGGACTACATAGCAAGATCACATCTTTAAGAAAGCAAAAAAATTAAAAAGCCCTTCAAATAAAGGTCCCCAACTGAGCAATTTTTAAATTAGCAGCTTAAAAAATTATAAAAATAGTACATAATGATAGCAAAAATTAATTCAAATAGTACTGGATAAAGAATATTAAAATAAGACCTTCTGACTCAGCACTAGTGCCAGTTTCTTCTGCACACAGTGTGCACGGTCAGCAAACGGCTTCTCTCAGCTAACAGCACACACAGCTCCCTTAATATTTAAGTAGTGGCCTAGCATTGCTTTAAAAATATTTTGGGGGCCAGAAAGATGACTCAGCAGGTAAAGTACTTTCTGTGCAACCCTGAGGGCCTGAGCTCAATCCTGGGAACCCACATAAAGGTAGAAGGAAAGACTGCACTCCACAAAAATATTCTTCTGTCAGCCAAACTCCCACACACCCCTCTAATACTAATATATTGTATTTAATCAGCCCTTTATTGACAAATAATGATTTTTGATGTTATAATTAACAGTGGAATAAACATCCTCATGAAGCAGATATCTTACTGGTTTTCATCCATCTTCCTTGTACTGGGCAAACTGTAACATGACTTCCAACGGCTTCCACTTGGTATAATCATCCACCTTTTTTGAGTCCATGGAAACTCTGCCCATGAGGAGCCTCACTGTTACACTTCATGAGACGGCAAAGGGGAGATTCTCCTGGATGGCCATGGCCTAAGCATGCCGAACCTTTAAAGAGCAGAGGCTTCCCCCAGCTAACTGACAATAGAAGTCAGAGACTCATTCAGGGTGGGCCAGAAGAAAGCCAACATCTACACTAGGAACTATCCATAGGAATCATATATCAAAAACCTGAAAGCAACTTAAAACTGAGAGTGACCCCCAGTTGGGAGCTAGCTGGAAAATACAGACTTTAATCCACAGTTGCAGAACTCCAAATACCTAGTGAACTCAGAGGAAGACACAGTCCTTACAACATCATGACCTCAGCTGAGCAAAACTCAACAGAATTCAGACTTCTGACCCTGCTAAATATGACAAGACACATGTGTGAGCTTACTAACATACAGTCTGCATGGTAAATTATGACAAGTCAAAATACCGAGAAAAGGGAATGTATATCTGTAATCTTCACAAGTATTGCGAAATTGATGTCTAAATACCTGACACCAATTCAAATACCTACCAAGAGTAAATCTAAGTTGATAACTTCCTGGTCATTATGGTCTAATGGTATCTTTATTTCAGAAAGTTTCTGGGGCTGTAATGATCTGAAGATCCTGTATTTGTAACAGAATTTAGTGTCTGACCAAATCTGTTGTTGTTGTTTAAGAGAGAATTTCATAGAGCCCAAATTGACCTTGAATTCACCATGTAGCCAAGGCTGGCCCTGAATGCCTTAATCTTCTTTCCTTCACCTCTCAAGTACTGGGATTACAGACATGAACACTAAACCTGGCTTACTATTTCTTTTAATAACTCTGACCTTTCCTTTCAGGCTCTCCTGGGAGGAAGGCTGCCATTATAACCACCCCATGTCCAATACAGGACACTACTGGCAACAAGACTCAGTATGAACACACAGTAAAGTGACATGTGGGTGTTGAATAAGCTCATTCTCTGATAACAGTGTAGGAGTATCCAATTTTTCTTCTTCATTATCTTTTAAACAAGGCCTCACTCTATAGCCCAAGTTGGCTTCAACTTTGTGGTAGTCCTACTGCTTCAGCCTCCCAAGTGTTGAGTTACAGGCGAGAGACATCAAGCCTCACTTACTATTTTTATTTAGAAGGTCTGATCTTAAGTGCGCATGGCAGCACATGAAACAACTGAACAGTCCCTGGAGATGCATACTTACATTCCTGTTTGAAGGTGAAGTACTCTGTGAGATGCCTGCATTCATGATTTCCTCGAAGCAGAAACAATGTTCTAGGATAGTTAATCTTTAAACTCCATAAATACAGCACACACTAGGAGACACAAAGGAGACACAAATGTTCTTCATGACCACAACAGTACATAAAGACCATTTAAATTGAAACGGCGTGCTCTATGGTATAGCTCACTGAAAGTCCCAAACTGAAAAATGCAATCTTCTAGCTTTTGCAAGTTACTCTTAAAGTTGGTAGAATAAGCAGTCTTCATAAAAATCTCCCCTAAATATTTAAACACTGAGAACTCTCTGGGCATAGCTACCCACATACACACCATAGTCCTAAAATCTGCATCATTATTTTATAGTGGAAAAAAACTAGGACTAGGAACAAGGCAAGATTATTAACTGTCACCCTTCAATGTTACAATAAAGGTGTTATAATTAGACACATGAGATCAAGTAAAGGCTTCAGGATGGGTAGGGAAAAGTGTAAAGTATCATTATGTGCAGATGATATAACTGTATAACTGAAGAAAAACGGAAAAACCAATGATAAAAGCAGCATAAATAATAGAATTCAGCAAAATAGGATATACATTTGAATACATAAATAAACAAGCTTTTATATAAAAGTATGAAATGAGTAACATGGTATAAAAATTTCATTTAAAGCCAGGCAGTGGTAGCACATGCCTTGGCACTCGCCTTTAACCCCAGCACTCAGAAGGCAGACACAGGTGGATTTCTGTGAGTTCCAGCCAGCCTGATCTATAGAGCAAGTTCCAGGACAGTCAGGGATACAGAGAAACCCTGTCTTGAAAAACACACAAAAAAATAAAAATTATAAAACTAAAAAGTTATATTTAGAACAGCAACAAAAAGGCTAGGGATATAATATAGCTCAGTTGGTAGAATATCTCCTTAGCATGCACAAGGTCCTGAGTTCAAATCCCAGCACCCATAAACAAAACATAATGCCCCACACCCATAATACTAGAACTTGAGGAGTGGAAGCAGAAGAATCTGTAAGGAACCAGTAGTTAAGGTCAACCTTGGCTACACAGTAAACTGAAGCAACTTAAGCTATGTGACACATTGTCTCAAAAAAAAAAAGAAACAATGTTCTGAGTCAGACCTGGAAGTACAGACCTTACATCCCTGTACTCAGGCAAAAAAGATCATGAATTCAAGGCTAGGTCAGATAACATTAAGGAGTTCTAGACCAGCCTGGTTACATAATAAAACCTAAGTTCATTAAAAATAAAATAAAGAAACTGTGCCCTACCATATGCCACAATACAGCAGTATTTTATCACAGTCCAGAAATGGATCCAAGTTCACAGGACAGATGTCTACAGTAAAAGTGGCATCTCAAGTCATCGGGTGAAAGCTGTGCATGGTGGCCATGACTGCAACCCCAGCACTGAGTAGGCTAAAGAGGAAGACTGCCTTCAATTGGAGGCTAGCCTGTGCTACAGTATACAATCTTGTCTCACAAAAACAGAAAAATAAAATAAGATCACTGGGGTAATGATGAGCTTTTAAATAAACATCTCTGGGGTCGGACGCCATTTCAAAAGAATAAAAACAGCTCTAAGGTTACATAGCACCCAACAAGTGACAAGAGAACAAGTGATCAAGTATTGAAAAGAAGTTCTAGAAGGATGCATGGCTATAGGAAAGAGATTTTAATGACGAGAGATCCACAGGCGAGAAAACATAGCATCTCATTATGTGAAAAGGAAGGTACACAGGGGCTGGAGAGCTGGCTCAGCAGTAAAGGCACTCATTGCTCTTGCAGAGGACCGGGGCTCAGTTCCCAGCACCCACATGGCGACTCACAACCACCTATAACTCCAGTTTCAGGGCATCTGATACCCTCTTCTGACCTCTGGGATACCAGGCACATACATGGTGCACACATATACAT